CTTCACCTGGTAGCTGTGCGCCGTTGGTGCCGCTTTCTCGCAACACCTCTTCTTCTTCCTCTCCTCTCCTCTCCCTTCCGTCCTGGTACGCTTCCTCTCCTGCTTTTAGCTAGCTTTGCTCCCTTTCCTAATTAATAAAATTGTTCTTCTCGACTTGCCTAATATAGATATAAAAGTTTCAGCTCGGTTGCACTTCACCTGGTAGCTGTGCGCTGTTGGTGCCGCTTCCTCGCAGCACCTCTTCTTCTTCCTCCCCTCTCCTCTCCCTTCCGTCCTGGTACGCTTCCTCTCCTGCTTCTACCTAGCTCTGCTCCTAACCCTCAAAAAAAAAGCTAGCTCTGCTCCCTTTCCTAATTAATAAAACTGTTCTTCTCGACTTGCCTGATATAGATATAAAAGTTTCAGCTCGGTTGCACTTCACCTGGTATTGGTGCCGCTTCCTCGCAGCACCTCTTCTTCCTCTCACAATTCTCTTGAGATTTCTCTCGTGGACACACACCATGAAGAAACTCAAAGAAAACACACACACACACACACACACATACACACACACACACATGCATTGATGCATATGCCAGGAAGAAAGCCAACTAGCTTTGCCAAGAGGCTCACCTCCTTGGTCACAGGGGCGGGGCCCTGAGATTTTGGACCGGACCATATACCTATGAATATTAAGATGGGCCTGAGAAAAAGAAGAAACCCAACAACTTCTATTCATTCGCTGGTCATGGGAGTGCATGTAGGCAGTGGTGTGTTAAAACATGTTGTTGGGTTTCTTCTTTTCATAACCACGCTCAGATTAATGAATGCAAGTTTATGCTGCATATATATACTCATTTTTGGTCTTACATGACTTTGCTATTCGCCGGCGAGTTTTTGTGTGCGTGTCTTGGTGTTGGTTGTGTGCATCTTAGCTATGCAGAGGCCGGGTGTGTGCTCATTGTGTTTGTATCCTCTTGATGCTTCATCTTGAGTCAATAAAATCCACCCTTTGTCGGAAAAAAAAATATACTCACTTTTGTTGCTGCATTTTCGTTGGTAATGAACACAAGATATTTTGTAGTATGTTTTCAGCCAAATATAAGGTATGTTACCATTCGTTAGGTTTTCTTCAAAAACAGTTAATCCACACCACACGTACGACAACAAATGAAGTAGGCTAGTGTAGTTATTACTACTCCCTCTGTATCAAAATACAAGATGCTTTTTGGTTTTGCACAGGGCACAAAAAACGTCTTCTATTTTGTTACGAAGGGAGGAGTATTTATCAGGTGTTGTTAGTTACTCCTTCCGTTCCAAATTACTCGTCGTGGTTTTAGTTCAAGTTTGCTGCCATATATGTTTTTTTTTTTTGCATAGCCCTCCTAGCTAGCTACCTATTAGTTTCTTCTGATAGATCGATTCATGCTCGGCTTTTGCAGCTGCTGGTTACAAGAAGATGAAAATGGTTGTGTCCGTTGTGCTGCTCACCAGCTGGCTCTTATCCATCTAAAAGAAAAAGCTGGCTCTTATCAGTGGGCCTACCCTCCCAAGCCCTAAATGTGAAATCAAAGACCTTCCATTCCCCTCCCATCTTATTGGCCCTTGGATCAGTCTCAAACAAGTACTCCCTCCGTCCGGAAATACTTGTCGTAAAAATGACTAAAAATAGATATATCTAACATTAAAATATTCGACTTACCACCTAAGCCTATGCTCCACGGGATATTTTCCGTGAATCGCTTCCAACTTACGGCACAGGAAAGGAGGCAGGGAACGAGGCAAACTACATGGTCGGCATGTCGACGTGCTACCCCAAGCCGGGATCCACCAAGGTGCTGACCATCTTCTCCAACTACAGCAGCGACTACCAGGAGTTTCTTTTTGTACAAAAAAGGGGATGAGTATTTTATCCGGTTTCTGAAAATGAAGTACCTTTTGAACCGTGCATCTCAATGCGGACTGTATCACCATTGTGTTCTCCCCGTCGAGATTTTAGGAACAAATCCCATTAAACTCCATGGGGTTCTAACTTGAGCTCCCTTGCTCCTAGGACATCATCTTTTTTTTTTAAACGAGGCAAAAGACTTGCCATTTCATTAATCAAGGGAGAAGATTTTAGACAGACCCGCAGCATTACAATACTCAAGTCAAGTGCTTGGCACCCGCCAAAGCCCAAAGCCACACCTCATACTTGATCTTGTTGATGATGACCACCGATGGAACCGCCACGTTGCGGAAGACTCGAGCGTTTCCCTCGGACCAAACCTCCCAAGAGATGAGCATCATCAATGATGCAAGGGCTTTGGGAGAGCCGAGACAAATCTGAAGGTTGCCGTTCCACCATCCTTTGACCGAAGCGCTCCTAGCTAGGACATCATCGTAGGGGTGAATCGGTGCGGAGCGGAGCGGAGAGAGCGTACCGGACCGGCGGACAGATGAATCGGAGCAGGAAGGTGGCAGCGGGAGTAGACACGGTTGAGACGGCTAACGGTGACGGCGACGGCGACAAGGCAAGAGGAGGAAGAGAGGAATGGAGGAGCAGGGATGGGGAAAATCGTCCGGTCTTGGTTGGTGCTCTGGGCTGGCTGGGCCTCGACTGTTGTGGTGGGCTTCGACGGCACCCCGCGAACTCCTTCATCTTGTTTCGGCCCACTGCTAAAATAAAAGGAAATCTTCTTCAAAGCACGGGCGCCTCTTCTCTCTCTCTAAAAAAAGGATGCCTTTTGCAAAAGTGACTGCAAAAGCTTCTCGTGAATAAATTGCATGAGCCATGTGCACCAGTTGTCTCCATTAGAGGGTTTTTTTTTCTTGCGGGAGAGCCGCCCGCACGTGTTTAACTTTTTGGATTCGGTTTTTGAAAAATGAAATGTCTCGAACAACGCATCCAAATTGCGAATCATTAACACCGTTGTCTTCTTCCCCATCAAGATGTTAGGAACTAGATTCCCATCTTGATAAGTTTAGATGGGATTCTAGATCTGTGTTGTGGGTTGTGGCTGGCAAATTAGGACCATGCAATGCACAATGACAGACCCATACATCTCTGGTCTCTTTCTAGCTCGGTCAGTTAATCTTGAGCAAATGTCTGTCCTCACTGGCCTCAGCAGCCAATCTTATCTTAAACCAGATGAAACATGGGAAGGCCAACAACATCTGGTCCATCGGCGAGCACTTATAAATTTCATAAAATTACTATCTACTCCCTCCGTCCCAAAATTCTTGTCTTAGATTTGTCTTGATACGGATGTATCTAATACTAAAAAATGACTTGATACATCCGTATTTAGACAAATTTAAGACAAGAATTTTGGGACGGAGGGAGTACATCTAAAACAGGCAACAAAGACGTACGTACGCGTAACAAACAAAGACAAAATGGCCTCAAGCAACTGTGCAGAAAAGACTGGAATGAATCCATCGTCTCCTGGAGCAAACAAAACTTGGCAGGAATTGCTGCAAAGTGTGTACTGAATAGCAAAAACCACCAGGATCAACTCCAGAGGCATTGCAGTATCGATCTAGGCCCTATGTCTATGTATGAATGGCATATTAATCAATCATGCTAGCTGTCAACATGATGGATTTACACCAACAGAAATTAGGCTCAGATACACTGAAAAAAACTATATGTGTATATATATGCAGCTCAGCACATGCGTGTTTTCGACGGAAAAGCAGCTACAGAAACTAGAAACATGTATGTATATATGTGCACATCATCATGCCCCCAGATTGCTTACCCAGACAAGAGCAAATTCTCAATCACAAGCAACATACTCAATAAACAAATTATTAATGGCAGGAAGGAATGCAGCAAACTGGGCAGAGGCAAGTCCAAACATCACTTGTTATTATTATTAATAGTACATAATAAAGCGAAAGTGCCGCAACAGAAACCGTTTGCAAAACAAAAAAAAACAAGCATGAGTTACTACAATCCTTAGCTTTGTGATCCATAGCCACATCAAGATCCTGGTTGCTACCTTTCCCTTGGAGCAGCAACAGACGGCTTCCATGAAGATCATCAATCAATCACGGGACAGCTGAGCCTTTGGCTTCTTGGGCACGGTCCGATACCCAGCCTTGGTGGGCTTCCCCCAGGGCGACACCGAGGGCCTGCCACCCTTGGTGCGCCCCTCGCCTCCTCCATGGGGATGGTCCACCGGGTTCATCGCGACACCACGGACGACCGGGCGCCTGCCCAGCCACCGGCTATGCCCCGCCTTCCTCAGCTTCCGCGCGCCATGGGTGGCGTTGGAGACGACGCCGATGGTGGCCCGGCACCGCGAATCTATCAGCTTCTCGACGCCCGACGGCAGCCGCACAAGGCACTGCGTGGCCGACTCCTTCACCACCTTGGCGTAGGCTCCGGCGGCCCGCACGAGCTTCGCCCCCTGGCCATGACGCAGCTCGATGCTGTGCACCCATGTGCCCATGCGGATGTCAGACAACGGCATGCAGTTTCCCACCTTGGAATTGAGGTCCAGTAGGTCGGCAGGCATGAGCGGCGCTGCTGTGGTGACCGCCGCATCCTTTGCTGCTTGATCACCAGCGCCCTCCTCTTCGTCTTCTTGGCTGGCCTTGCGGAACAGCTCTTGGAACCGAAGGAAGGAATCAGCATTGTGGGCAGGCCGCATCAAGGAGCCGGTCGTGGAAGGTTTGGAGGAGTCGCTGTTCACCACCATGCTGCCCGGTTCCATTTGATGGCTGGCTATGATGTAATTGACAGGCGCACGCTCGGCCTTGTATGCTGCATCCTTTTGAGGCACCCCTTCGATCCATCGGAGAAGAGCGATCCGAGAAGAGCGGTTAGGGTCGTACTCAATCCTTTCCACAATGCCAACGGAGCAGGTGTTCCTTTTGAGGTCAATGTCCCTAAGCGATCGCTTGGATCCACCCCCTCGGTGAAAAGAAGTGATCCGCCCGGAAGAGTTCCTCCCGGCGGTGACGGTCTTGCCGGTCAGGGCCTTGGCCAAGGTCTTGAACTTGTGCATCTGCAGGCATAAGAATCGCCAAAGAGACAGTAAGCTTCGAGGACTAACAGCATGTATTAGCAGCCAGCAAGTAGATAGGCTTCCATAAATCAAGGCCCTAAAGGATGAACGAACTAACCACAAAGAATCAACAGAAAGTAGCGAGATACAATTTCTATCGATCTTAAGACCACCTAGGTTTACTGATTAAAAGAAACACCATGGTCATGTTATTCGCACAGATCCAGAGCAAAAGATCAAGCAGCTTAGGTTCGAACCCGAACCAGGACACGAGCTAGTACTGGATTCGATTATGGCCCAAACCAATAAGATTGGCGGCAAGATTTAAAAGAGAAGCTCCAAACTTTAAATTCTTGTTATTCAGCAACGTTCAGATTGTCAGGAAGAGAAACACTAGATTAACAATTGCTGAATTCAGCAGGCAAAACATTTAAATTGCTTCAATATGAGTCCAGAGAACCAATCCGGATCCATCACACCCGTCAACAAGGTGGATCCAGGGCAGCCAATCGGCCTCCATTAACACCTGCCTAGGGTTTCCCTCCACGATCTAGGCCAGCCGAACTGGATGGATAGATAAAACAAGCAAGATCCGCGGAATGCGCATCCGCGCGCGCGGCCGTCGGTGGCGCGGGAGGATGGGGAGGGAGAAAAGAGGAGAGGAGGAGGTACCTGGCTGCCGGACGGAGGGATCGGAGCGGGGGCGACGGCGACGGCGGCGGCGGCGGCGGCGCGGGGGGGAGGAGGAGGAGGAGGAGGAGAGAAAGCAGGCGCGTGGTGCGACGAGTGCGACTGTGTGCGCGTGCGTGTGGTGGGCTGGGCCTCCTCGTTCTATGCTAGATGGGCTTCGGCTTCGGCCAACTCTTTCTTCATCTCTCGTTCTGGCCCGTCTACCACCGAAATTTCTTCTTCTCAAAAAAAAATCCACCGAAATTTCCATTCGTATGTTAAAAAAACCCACCGAAACATTGACAAAAATTTTAAGTGTTTGCAAAAGGGGAAAAGCTTGGCTACAACCGGCGGATCACACGCGGGCGTCCGCCGCCTCATCCCTGTGACACGTGTCTTGCGGGGGGCTCACCTGACATTATCTTTTATGGTTTTGCAACTGGGCCCTTGTTGCACTTTTCCCACCGCAATAACTCGTATGTTCCGGGATGGGCGCAACATCTGGATTTCTTTTGTATATATCGCAGGAAATCACTGGTTTTGTTTTGTTGATTGGCTTTCTTTTTTTCTTTTCTTGCGAAAACCGGCTTCCAAGTGCTCCCTCCGGTCTTTTTTTTTTTACTTCGCATATACAAGATTTATGTAAAGTCAAACTTTGATAAGTTTGACCCACTTTATAAGAAAAACATTCAGAATATCATCGTTAGTATGCTTCGTGAATTTATTTTCATAATTTTTTTTAAATTTCACTATTGTTGATGTTGACATTTTTCGTGTAAATATGGTCAAAGTATACAAAGTTTGGCTTCAGACAATTTGTATACGCGGAGCGAAAGAACCCACAAGAAGTGCTACTACTAAGGACCAGCACTGCCCATGTTGGCTTGCTTGTATGGCTAGATTGTCTTTGACGTTTTGATTGTTTTGGAAAACCTCTGTTTGCATTTGTACCGTTTCTCTTAACCGGCATACTCCCTTTGCAAAGACCGACCCCGATGTGGTTGAGGACGGCCTCGAGGGTGCGGCAGGGCACGCCCCACTAGTCACGCCGCCCGCCAGCGTTGTGGCGTCCGCGGGGGATGATGCCGTTGGAGGAGGCGACCTGGTCTTCGCGGCGGCGCTCGAAGTACATCGTCCATATCGTGTGGCTGTCGGCGGCGTATCTCAGCTTGTTCCGCTGCGCCTCCGTCAGCGACGAGCGGATGCGGGCGATCTCGGCCCGCCGTGCAGCCCCTTCGGGCACCGGTTGCACCGGGACGCCGCCGGTGCTCAACTTCCACGACCCCGGCACACGCATGTCCGGGGGCGCCGGATAATCGGCCTCGTAGATGAGGTGTGCCTCCGGCTCTTAGAGATAGCGGTGATCGAAGCCGTTCGCCACTGCGCCATCGCCTGGGTACCTCTCAACCATTGCTCGTCGGCGGGAAGGGGGGATTGTGTTGCTTTGTGTGGCGAGGCGATGTGGGGCAGCTGCCCGACGAGGAGATCTTCTTTTATAGCCGCAGCGGGGCGGTGAGAGCCTGCATGCCGGGCGACGTGTGGCGGGAGCGGGTGGGACGCGTCTCGGTGGCGACTTCACTGCGCCGCCCGTGAGGCATCAGTGGAGGTTGGCCGGCGACAGCGCGGCAGCCTTGGCATTGATTTCCGCGAGAACCGAGGCGATGGGGACGACGAAGCGGCATCTCGCTGACTCGGCGGGCACATCCCTGTTCGTGCCAAAAACACGTCCCCGGCACCCCAGGCGCCCCCAGCGCGCCGGGTTTGGCCTGGGTCCGCCGACGCCAGTCTCAGCCCAAACCGGCGAAAACGGGTTCCTAGGGCATGACTGGGCCGATTTTTGGCCGCCAGCGTCAAAAGAAAAAACGCCTGGGAAGGCCCATTGGGGGCGCGGCTGGAGATTCTCCAAGGACCAACACTGCCCATGTTGGCTTGCTAGTATGGCTAGATTGTCTTTGACGTTTTGATTGGTTTGGAAACCTCTTTTTGCATTTGTACCATTTCTCTCAACCGGCATACTCCCTTGGCAGAGAAATATAAGAGCGTATATTTCGCACGGAGGTAGAAATATGTAAGAACGTAGACGCTCTTATACTTCTTACGGAGGGAGTAACTATTATTCCTAGACCAGGCGGGCGGGCAGGCGAGAAAAAAAATCTAACTTGTGCATGTATCGGTGCAGGTGCAGCAATGGATGTCGTGCGGCTGGGTGGGATCACGTGTTTGACACATGCAGGCCATGTCGACGCCAATGCTATATTTGTTCGGTTGTGCAATCACGTGAAATGTTTGTACTTTATTTGAATTATTATGTTTGCAAAACGACGGCAAACCCACCGCACAGTTGAAAATGGGTCCACGTGTTGGACGCATTGTCGACCCAAACAAAAAACATGACAGATGACGAGAGGGTGGCCGGCCCAAACCGCGCAATGCGCGCGTCCGTTTGAATGGGCGCGTTGAAGTTCCATAAGAGCAACTCTAGCAGACCCCGCATCCCGCCGGCCCGCAAAACGCGTTTGCAGTTCGCGCAAAAACAGCTTTTGCGGGTCGGCTTGGGCTGGCACAAATGCAGACCCCCCAAACGGATCCGTAAAAAAGTATATTCACGGAATATACCTTTTTATGGGTCGGCTTTGCGGGGTCGATCCCCGGTGGCGGCGGCGACGGGGGGCGGCTCTTCTCGCCGGATCCGGAGGGGCCGTGCAGCGGCTCGGCGCGGGAAGGTGTGGGGCGGCCCCGGGGCGTGATTCCCCCCCGCAGATATGGCCGGAATCGCCGGCGGTGGGCGGGCGGAAGAAAAGGGCGGGCGGCGGCGGAAGGAGGGGGAAAGCGCGCGGGCTGAAATGTCCCTCCCGCCAACTGCTTCTCTCCGATGCAGGGCACCGTAGCCGCGAGGGGGAAACCCACGTTTTCCCGGGTTGTGGCGGAGAATTTGCCGCATCCCTAAAATTTTTTGCGGAGCGGGGCGGGATGCGGGGTCTAGTCGGACAGGCTTTCCGGCCCTTATCCGCATTTTGACGATTATTTTCCGGGTCGAGGCGGATGTGGGATCTGCTAGAGTTGCTCTAGAAAAAGCATATGTATATATATGGTGGATCCATGCCGTTGCAAATATTATTTTTCTCCTTGGTTCATCGAGATGAGTGGAACATGGATGAATATGCGTGCGTGTGTGCATGTCAACCACACCACACAAAGTGCATACTCCCTCCGGACCGTGAATAGGTGTATATCTAGTTTTTGTTTAAAATTAAAATTTTAAAATTTTGACCAGCTTTATAGGAAAAAGAGCAGTACCATTTTATGGGATCAAATTAATACATTATGAAACTACATTTCAAAACGAAACTAGTGATACTAATACAGTGCCATAAACGTTGTTACATTTTCTCCATAAAATTGGCCAAAGTTTTAAAACTTTGACTTAAGACAAAATTTAAATATACACTTATTTCGTGGGCGGAGGGAGTACACGGCTAGAAAGGAAAGGAGCTCACGCTCACGCGGAGGGAGTACTGCTTACATAACCATTTTGGGAAAAGCCTCCACAAAACGAAAATGCCAAGCGGAGACCGAGCTCCATGACGGCATTTATTTGGAAACTTCAAAAATCCAAACTTTTCCAGTTTCAAGAAATCCTGAAAAATAAACACACACACACACATACACATGGAGACATACTGTACATGTGTGTAAATTTTTTCAGCTGGAAATATAAAAAAATGTGAGCTACACGAAATAAATACACCGGCTAGCATCCACCGGGTCTCCGGTCATTTCAGCCACACGCTCTTCCTCCTCCGGCGTTTCTTGCCCCCAAGCAACCACCACCGGAAATCCCTCCCCAGCTCTTTTGTCGGCTTCCCGCCGTGCGTGAGGCCTCCACGCATCCCCCGCTCCCCCCCTCCCTCCTCGCCGGATTCTTTTCCTTGCACGCCCCGCCTCCCTCCCCACCTCGCGCTATCCACCGCCACCACCACTAGAGGTCCGTACGAGTGGAGGAGGAGGGGGAGAGCTCGCGCGAGTCGCGCCGGCGGCTACGGAGAGAGTAAAGAAAGTGGCTATCGTCCATGGCCCCCGCCGCCGCCGCCGCCCCCCCGGTGGCCCCCGGGAACGGGCGCCTCGGCCGGCCGCGGGCGCCCCGGGTGGGGCTGCGCGTCTATGCGGCGGCGGCGGCGGGGGCGGGGGCGGGGGAGGGGCCGTCGTGCCTCTACGTCGGGCCCATCGAGACCGCCAGCCAGGAGATGCTCGAGGCGCTCTACCGCCAGGTAATTCAGCCCCACTCTTGCTCACCTTCCATGCCATCAGATTTCACACAGTTAATCATGAACCTGAAGAAATTAACTGAAAGTCTGCAATCTTTCTGTATCTCATACCGTGCCTTTTGATGCTGTTTATAAGCAATGTTGCCTGCTGCGCAATCGTCTTTATACCGCCGCCCGCGGGTTCGATCGGGTTCGCGCTTTCTCATGTTCCATTCCATCAGAGATTCAGAGTACGCATGGCTTGTTAGCAGCTTCAGCTAGAGTCAGTCAGGAACCTGAAATGGACTAAAAGTTGCAGCCATTTTTCCTGATTAACCCTCATACTGCACCTTTTCCAATTAACCTGCAGCTAACCGGAAGCTGCAGCCCTTTTCCAATTAGCATTCACGATGTACCCTTCGATGCTGTAAATAATGTTGCCTGCAGTACATTATGTGAGCCAAATTCATCACCATGTATATATAATAATCTGCAATCTTTTTGTATTTCATACTACTGTACCTTTTGATGCTGTGAACAATGTTGCCTGCCGTACCATCTTTTTTGTACCACCGCCTGCGGGTTCGACCGAGTTCGCTCTTGCTCATGTTCCGTTTGTAGCTTGGACCACAGTTTATCATGAACCTGAAATTAACTAAAGTTGCAGCTTTGTTTGCTGTTTCTGATTAACCTTCATACCAGTAACTAACTGAATGTTGCAATCCTTTTGTGTTTCATACTGTACCTTTTGATGTTTACAAGTCATGTTGCCTGCTGTGCATTATTAGGTGAGCCAAGCTCATCACCATGACTACTTGTATGCTAATCTAGTACCATCTTTCATGGCAGGCTAGGGATTCGTACTACAGCGGCCAGCCTCTGATTGTCGACGACATGTTCGACAAAGTCGAGGTGAACAAAACAGGCCTAAAATCAGCCAATTTACATGTCCACATTAGCACACACGCCACCTGATCCAAACTCCCTTCGCTGTCGCGTACCTGCATCTGCATCTTAACGATACATGTGTCCTTGGCCTTGCCAGCTGAAGCTCCGGGTCTACGGCTCCCCATCGGTCGTAAAATACCCCCGCTGCAGCCTCAAGCGACAGTCGGCGTACGCGGACGCCGAGGTAAACCTTTCCGTGAAAGTTCACCCCGTTTCTTCCGACCAAATCTACCCGGTGTCCCATGTATTCACAGGCTCACAATTCAGTGTTTTGATTGACATTTGGGTATAGGGCAGGAGGACCACTCGATGTTTATGGCACTGTCGAGCATCTGGACGCTGCTGCTCCTGCTTGGTACCTCGGCGTTCCTGGTTCCGAGCTTCTACACTCTGAGCCTGGCGTTCGGGGACGCTTTCGGAGCAAGGTCTCTCTTCTCCGCTGCTAAGTCCCTTGACGGGATAACGAGGGTGAACCACATGGTTTTGATTGGACTAGGCTATCTGATTGGCTATCCGGTTGCATCCGCGTCGGGTAAGGGGAGTTCTTCAGTAGATATTGGTTCTCTGTTATATCAGTGGTATCATGATTTTCGTCTTCAGTTTGCGAAATTGTGTTCTCTACCACGCATCTTAAATCATCTTTTTGTTGTTTCAGTTGGTGCATTGCAAGGCCTGTTGACAAACAATGTGGTTGCACTAAAAGGCTCTTGCCCAAACTGTGGCGAGCAGGTCAGTTTTGCTTCTAGTGTTAAACGTTGATGCTATTTCTTTGAGTACAACATTTTGGTCATCTGAGTAAGCAGAGCATGTTCTTGCTAGGTCTTCGCATTCGTGAAGACGGATAAGTCCATTAAAGCACCCCACAAGGCAGAATGCCATGTCTGTGAGTGCCCGTTGGAGTACCGTACTAAAGTCGAGGTATGTGAAATACCTGTAATTTTCGTTCAGCTTTTGCAGAATCAAAATGTACAGTTTTCAACAAAAAAATTAAGGAAATCTGATTTATGTTGACAGTAACAATGCGCGCGAAACAGTGCCGTTGTGTTTTTGTCAAATTACGGTCTTACTAAATCTACATCAAGTTCTTGCACAGTGACATACTCTGCAGCCCCTTCTCAATACTTTTTTCACTCACAAGAGTGACAGATAAGCATGTTCAGGCGCCTATCCCACATCTGGCACACAGAATCAGTACACTGTTGCAGGACACACACTTGGATGAAAATTTCAAAACTGTAACCGAGTCTAAATTCTGATCTGGAAGTTTTCGTGAAATTTCGCAGTTCCGTATGTAGATTTTATTGTAGTGTAAAACAAAGCATACCATATTTCTTCATTTTTCGACATTGCTCTGCAGAGATCTCTGTCTGGACCTAGAAGAAGCTGGGTTTACGGCCGGGTTTATATGGTGAAGCAAGGGCATCCTAGAAAAAGGAGATGGATAAAAGACTAGAAACCCCAACGATAGCTGCTGAAGAAAGAGGTCCATATCTGTTATGGTAGCAGTCTTGTTGCTCTGTAGTGCATATATGCCATTGCCCATTGATGAAACCAAGCAAGCATTTTGTAAAGCAGTACATTCTTTCCAGAGATGTCCGAAATCTGCAGATGAACAGAATTGTTGGCGTATTATCTTCACAGATTTGCTCAGCTAGAATTTGATTCTTCTAATTGACGTGTAAGTGCATGAAAAAAAATGCTTTAATTATGCTTTGCAATCACTGGGCTCTTCTTAGTGCACTAAGCCACCAACAATCATATTCAAAAGTCAAGCAAAAATCTCCCAAAAATACTTTTTTCTACAAAATGCATACACCATGTCAGTATGTCACAATGTTTCAGACCCGGATTAATTCGATCCACAGATTAAGGCGTAAAAAAGGATAATTACACTAATTAATTAAGCACTTGAGTAACCAAGATGGGGTACATATCAAAGTGAATGGCAAAAGCATGGGCGCATTTTTGTAGATTCCTGATCTTTTTGAGTGGTGGTGGAAGTCCAAAGTGCTAAAGGTTCCTTCTCCAAAAATCATTGCAAAGGCAAACAGTTGGAACAAACCGGGTGTGAAATCCTATGGATTGCACTCCTATGAATCAAACAACCCACGTAGAAAGAAATACTTGAGGATTAGAATCCTCCAAAATTCCTCTAGGCACACGCCCCAAAGCTCAACAGTCCTGATGCCGAGAACATCGTGCAATTTGAAGATCCGACTGCATGGCTACCATATGAAAAATCTCACCCAAATTCTTGCCACAGGATAAATAACCCAGCAGCTTGCCACAGAAAAAAAAAACAATTAGTCAGGGCATGAAACCCATCTTCAGGACAATGAAAAAAAAAATAGTCAGGGCATCATATCCATCACAACACTCAGAGAAATCATTCGGAGCCTAGTACAAGAAATAGATCAGCAAATTATCAGATTAGTGCGAGAGGACGAAAGCTACAAAATTAAACTAATCAGGCTTGCAAACATAATCCAAAATTAAACGAATCAGGAGATATGCAAAATGCTGGGCGGTTCCGGAAGTTTCAGGACATGCGAAACTGAAAAAAAAATGGGACCGCACACAAGAAACTTTGCAGCAGTTAATTTTCTTCAGGAAAGGGGCCATATCAGCTCAGAATATTGATCTGCTTCAGTTTGTGATTTGCGCAAAAAGCCAAAAACACAGCACAGCGAACAGAATCTGCATCTAGAAGAAGAATTGGAGCCATGCTCTAAACATAACCACTACACCTCATAATTTATGCCAGGTTACACAAAAAAAAATCACCCTTAACACTGCTGCAACTGTATCCAGAGAACATGTGCAAAAAATACTGCACAAGCACAAAGATGCAGACTTGTGCAGACTGCAATGCTGTGTCTCCAGTGCATACGTGTAAGGCTCTCTGTACACATGTCCTTTCTTCTCCCCTGCTCATGTTGTTCCTTGTAATGCTTGGTACATTTATGTCTCTGAAATTCAAAGTTGCCGAGAACGGAAAAAAAAACAGTTTTGCAGTAAATTTCAGAGAAATGAAAGCATCTTCAGTGGAGCCACCTGAAACCGCCAGGGACTGGTTGACTCGATTCCATGCGAGGCCAAGCCATGGATACTGGCAGGAGTGAACGGCTCGACCACCTGTCGCTCTCCCGTAGGTGTTTGGCTAGCATACTGCACACCTTCAGTTTTTTGCTGCTTCTTCTGTTAAAATTTGGATTCAGCTTTGTTTTGGTAGGCCTAGGTCTGTCTTCTGTTCTGGGCACGTTTGATTTGTACTCCTTGCGTCATCCTGATAGCTTCTTCTATACTGAATTTCTTCTTACATATAGGAAATGCATTTGTTGTACAAGCAGAAGGATACTTTGGCAGGCCTAGGCAAGCAACAACTAAAGTTTACCATGTATCAAACTAAACTGTGGCTGCTTCTTCATGAAACCGGTACTTTGTAGGGAGCAATCCTATGTGGTCTCTATATTTCCCTTTCCCTGAAAAGAGAGAGATAAGCAGCGAAACGGTTTCAGCTTCAAGTGAGTAGCTCTTTGCATCAACTTTAGACATATAATTCCCAGCCTTGACTAGCTCTCCTTTTTCCAGTAACATTCTGACGATAAGATTTAACATATAAGAGTCAGCAGTACAGCCGCTCTTCTCCATTGATAAAAAGAGATCGTCAGCTTCTTCCACTGACCCTTCTTTTATAAGATTTTTCATCATTATGGTGTAGGTAAAGACATTAGCTACCAAACCATTGGCTGATACTGCAGCAAACAAATCCTTGGCTTCTTGGTTTCGCTGAACCCTGTAGAAGGCATCAATCATTATATTGACAATTGTAATATTGAATTTCACATCCATTGTGCTTAATTTCTGGAATAGCGTGATTGCTTCGCAGCTACAATTATTTCTACAAAGTCCACCAAGAACTATCGAATATGTATCAATGCACACACTTACTCCAGATTCAACCATCTCATCAAACTTTTCCTTTGCAGAAACAGTTCGTCCAGCCAGAAATAATCCATCCAGTATGACGTTGTAATTAAAAGTTGTAGGTTTAAGTCTCTTGCGCAACATTTCTTTGAACAGAATCAGCCCATCGTCAATCCTTAAGTTTTTGCAATAGCCATTAATAAGTATACCATACGTAATATTAGAAGGTTCTAAGCCATATGACATCATATCATCAAATATTTTTGAGGCATCCTCCATCTTGCCGACTAGGAAGTATCCACCGATCAGTATATTAAATGTGCAAACATTAGGCCTCATACCTATGTGCGCTATCAAGCCAAGGACATCCCGTGCTTCTGTTACCCTTCCTTCTGTGCATAGGTTCTGCATGATTGAACTGAAGAACTTAATATCAGAAGGAGGTATACCTTTGTTCATCATTTCAGTAAGCAATTCCTTTGCTTTCACCAAATCTCCACGTGTACAAAATCCCTGGATTAGGGAACTATAAACAGCCGTGTCCGGTCGTACTCCTGTATCAATCATCTGATTAAACTTTATCACAGCATCATCCAACCTACCCTTTTTGCAAAATGCATCTATTACGGTTGAATATGTGACTGCATTTGGACTCACTCCTTGTTTCTGCATTTCATTGAAGATGAGCATAGCCTTATCAAGCTTCCCAGATTTAGCATATGCATAAATCAGTATGCTGAAGATACGACAGTCAGGAAGAATGCAGTCTCTTTCCATTGAATTGAAGAGATTAATCATATCAACTAAGCATCCTTCGGTGGCATACCCATGAAGGCGAATAGCATATGAAACGTTGTCAGGTTTCAGGCCCTTCATAGCCATGGTATCAAAAATTCCTGCAGCTTCTTTGCTTCTTCCATGTTTGCAAAGAAAGGTCATAAACATGTTGTGAGTATGCACATTTGGTTTAACCCTCCGACTTGTCATCTCTTTGAATACCCTAACAGCCTCCTTCCAGTGGCCTGAAGAGGAATATCCATGGATGAGGCTATTATATGTCACATTATCAGGTACGACACCATCATCAACCATCTGACCAAGGAAATACTCTGCCTTGTCCATTGCTTTGGCCTTGCACAGCGCATCAATAACCGAGTTATATGTCACAACATCAGGCGCAACGCCCTGCTGCGCCATTCCATGGAACAGGTTGCATGCCTTGCCTACTTGGCCTTCCTTAAAGAAGCCGTGGATGACCGTGGTATATGCCACCACGTTGGGGGTGCAGCCCAGATCAGGCATCCTGTGAAGCAGCACGTCGAGAGCCTCATCTGCCCGCTTTGCGTGGCAAAGGCCCTTGAGGAGGGTGCAGAAGACGACTTGGTCTGCCTCCAGGCCCGTCTTGAGGAGACGGGCGAAGAAGGCGAGTGCCAGATCCGTGCGGCACGCGCGGCAGCAGCAGTCCATGAGGACGCCATAGGTGAAGACATTTGGCTGCGCCACCCGTCGTCCGGCGCCTCCGGACAAACGGCCAAAGAGGGCAACGGCCAGGGCGGGGCCATCAGTGCAGGATGCAGACGCGGGCGCGCGGGCGAGGGTAGCCGGAAAGTTATTCAAGGGACGCTCCTGGACACGATTGCCCTGCCGCAGCAATTCGTCGAACAGGTGGTGTGCGTCCTTCCTGGTGAGCGTGCCAGAGCGCGCCCGCTGCGTCGCGGCGGCGAAGGCGGCGTGGGGATCTCAGATGCGTGAGGGATGAGAGGTGGCGGAGGAAGAGTGGCGGGCGCCGAGTCGGAGGCGGAGGCGGAGGCGGAGTGGCGACATTGGCGTGGTGGAGGAGAAGCGAGGCATGGCCTTGGGCTTGGTGTGTAGGTCGTCAACTCAACTGGGAGCAGGACGACGGGGCTAGTGCTTTTCCAAATTGTACCAATACTGCAGCATTTTTTGCAGGTACATTTAAATTATAGTCTCATATATGGATATATTCATATCACATAATGTGTGAGAATATAACTTTATTTAGACCAAGAATAAAGATTAAGTTGCAAGCCGTAGAAATGTACTAGGAAGCCATAAAAATAATAAATAAATATATTTAAGTATTCCCACAAAATAATAGATATTTTTAGGCATTTAGTTTCTTGAGTATCTAAGTAGTGAATTTTGCACCCCCCCATGTTGTCCCAAACCTAAAGGTTGGAAATCTACTACTAATGATGGCGGAGGTTCTCAATGCCTTTCCTTCTTCTTCTTTTTTTTTGAAACGAGGCAAAAGACTTGCCATTTTCATTGATTAAGAAGAAGTAAGAATTGCCCGGTTAATTGACGGAAAACCGGGCTAAAACCAATACAACCCAACCCATATAACATGGGCACCACCGGCCAACCTGGCCACCGACATGAAACATGAGCTGCAAAGAAGAAAAGACATCCGCCGGGAAGTCGCAAGCGTCATCGTCATCACCGGTTATCTCCGAACGGGCGACTCCGACTTCACCATAGAGCTCCACCAACAAGTCGCCCTCG